GATATAATTGGTAAATTACACACTCCTGAGATTGTAACTTCAGGAGATAGGCTAAAATATAATTTTTCAAAGCCTATCGATGTATTTGAGGCACCTTAAATACCTACTATGAAGTGCATTTTTCACTTAATATTTTTTCATTTAAGTTTCTTTTCTTATGGAGTGCATTTTTTACGTAATATTTTTTTATGTAAGTTTCTTTTTTTTTAATACATAGTTTAGTTTTTTTAAATTATTAGAATATCATTAATAATTAGTTTTTTTGGGATTTTATCATGTCAATAACTGGGATGTCAAAAATTGGATTTTTCCAAAATTGGTATGTCAATTACTGGGTAAAAAAAATTGTTCTGTTTCAACACTAGAATAAACCATAAAAAATGTGTCTTTTTATTATTTAAACATTCGAGTACATTAACACCATTGCAAAGTATTCCCTGAACAAATTTTGATTTCAGCAAATGTGATAAATGAAGAGTAGGAATATTTTAATGAACTTTGTCGCTCTAACTGTGTCAATAACTGGTAGGTTTACCTTATATGTGGATATACAATGGCGTAACAGCGCAGTCAAAAATATAACTTATTTTACTTTTGAGTCAATTTTTTTGCTCGCAAGTGTAGAATTTTATTATTTTCGTTTCTGATACATCTAATATGATTAAAATATGTTGCTTTCTTTGTTCTTTGTTTGGCTATTTTGTATATCCTTCAACTTCCCTGGAATCAAGGTTTTTGGCAACCTTGTTTAGCAACAAAAGGTATTTTTGAAATATAATTTTACGAATTCTGAAAGAAAATTAAGAATAAGAGAAGGACAATTTAAGTAATAAACTTTAATACAAAATGTTTACATTTACACAATAATACTATACTGTTCGAATAAGTTGGACAAACATTTTCTGGTCTGAGTTAATATATTATTACACCGAACTGCCTTCAACCGGATATATCTGCCTAGAGACAGATCGACTGCGTGACGAATCGACTTTGACTATAATTTACTCGTTTGACTGATTTTAAAGTGTCAGTAGTTCAGTTCAGTTGTGAGCTTCTCTGCGTGGCAGTCAGTGGTGATAATGTTGTGTTCCGTGTAATACATGTTATTCTTGCTTGTTCAAAGATGGATACTCCTAAGAAGCATGTTAAAGTTATCGCTCTTAAACTCTTATAACTCTGGGAGATATAGCTACTCTACAGAAAAGGATTATGGAAGTTGGCCGGAAGAAAAAGAAAAGAAAGCGAAGAAAAAACAATTTCTAACACGGAAAATTATGAAAAATGCTAACGAAGTCCAAAAATACCGATAATGTACTATTGACGATTGAAAAAAAGTGATTTTCAGTGATGAATTACATTACGAAGTGAAGTGAACCTCTGCGACGCCGATGAGATTATATTCAACAAACTAAAATACTCTTTTAAACAGATTTTTTGGGTTTTGTTCACAACAAATGGTACTAGACGATTAGTTCCTATTAAAGGCATGATGAATTTTGCCAAATACATTGAAATATTACGCAGGATTGCTCCATTTATCGAAACATTTCAACATCACGTGCCAACTTGTTACAATTCGAAATTGGTCCAGACTTTTATGCTGGAAAATACAGTAAAAGTGCTTCATTGGCCTGGTAATGGTGGTTAAAGGTTAGTAAAGGGCCTCGGAGGCAGTACGAGTTGTCGATGCTCGAACTGCAATAAAACTCTGAGAAACGTCCACTGTTTTCTGACGAAAAAGTCGGAAGTTCTAGGAATAGAACTCAGCTCTGCCAACAAATTCTACTCTCACGTCCTCGAAGGCAATAATGGAACATGCTAAGTTGGTATCGACCTGGAATTTCCACAAGAGCAATAAAACAGCTGGAAGAACTACAATACGATGTGACTGCAATCCAAGAAGTCAGATGGACTGGGTCTGGGACAATCCAAATGGAGAAGTCAATAGTGCTATGGTCGGGACATGAAACATGTCACGAAAGAGGGTGTGGTTTTGTTATAAGCGAAAGGGTTAAATCTGCTATACTAGATTTCAAAGCAATTAATGATAGAGTCTGTAGCATAAGAATAAAGGGCAAATGGTTAAATCTATCGATATTCTCAGTGTATGCACCAACCGAAGAAACAGCAGAGGAAGAGAAGGAAGAATTCTATGACTCCCTAATCCGATTATACACGGAAGCCCCAAAACATGACATCAAAATAATATTAGGGGACTTAAACGCAAAAATAGGCAAAGAAGAACACAAGGCCGGTAGCTGGAAATCAGTGTCTACATGACATTACCAATGACAATGGTTCAAGGCTGATTGAGTTTGCAGTAGGGTGCAACATGATTATCAAAAGCACCCAATTTGCCAGGAATAACATATATAAGGTAACATGGAGATCAAATGATGGAAGAACGAGGAACCAAATTGATCACGTATTAATTGATGGGAGGCATTCCAGTAGTATAATAGATGTAAGAACTAGACGGGGACCAGATAGTGATACAGACCATTTCCTAGTAAAGGCCAAGCTCAGAACTAGAATCTCAACACAAACAACAGACAAACAGATGAAGATCGAAAGATGGAATGTGTCTAAATTGGAAGAAGAGGAAAAGAGACAATACCAACTAGAATTGATAAACAGATTCCAGGTGTTGGAAACGAAAGAAAATGAAAGAGAAAATATAGACCAGAAATGGTACTCCATTAAAACGATCATTACAGAAACAGGAGAGAAGTGTATAGGTCGGAAGAGAAAAGCAAAAAGAAAAAAATGTTTTGATGAAGAATGCGAAGATACCTTAAAAGAAGCAAACAAAAGAAGAATCGACTACCTAGCAAACCCGACGGATGAAAAGAGTGAACAATACAATAGAGAGAGAGCCTTAGCCAGAAGAACAGTAAGGAGAAAAAAGAGACAAAATTTACAACAACAAATTGAAAAAGTAGAACGTGAACACAGAAGCAAGCAAAATAAAAAAGTCTACAAAGAAGTAAGACAACATAAGAAAGGTGCATATATAAGAACACCGAACTTTGTGAGAGATAAAAATGAGCAAATGATTACAGCTGAAAATAAAATAATCGAAAGATGGGCTGAATACTTTGAAAGTCTTCTAAATGTCCAGGTGGACGCGGATGGAAATAAAGCGATAGAAACCCTAAAAAATGACAAATCCCCGGGACTAGACAATATTGATGCAGAACTGATTAAAAAAGGAGGGCATGAACTTAGAACTAAAATACACCAATTAATGAAAGAAGCCTGGGAACAAGAAATAATGCCAAAAGAATGGAGTGGCTGTATTATCGTGCCAATACATAAAAAGGTAGAAAGGATACATGTGGCAACTACAGGGGAATCTCAATAATCGGTACTACATATAAGATATTAGCTTCAGTTGTACTAAAACGATTACTGCCATATACAGAGGAAATTATTGGCGATTACCAATGCGGCTTTAGGCCTGGAAGATCAAGAATCGACCAAATATTTACTATCAGACAAATGCTAGAAAAGTATTGGGAATATAATAAAGAAGTACACCAGATCTTCATAGATTTCAAACAAGCATATGAATCCATAGATCGCTTAAAACTGTGGAGTGCAATGATGGAGTTAGGCGTACCAAAGAAGCTGACCATGATTGCGCGAATGTGTGTCAACAATTCCTTTGCACAAATTAGAATAGGAGGCAAAACTTCAGAGGCTTTCGGCATAAGCACCGTGCTCAGACAGGGAGACCCGCTGTCCCCATTACTATTTAACCTAGCATTGGAATACGCAATGCGAAAAATCTATACCAGAGTCAAACCAGACATAACTGCCAGAGGAGCAAAGATTATTCTCGCATTCGCAGATGATGTAGATGCAATAGCACAGACAACACTGGAAGTTAAGGATATAGTATCGAACTTTGAAAAAGCAACACTAAGCGTAGGCTTGAAAATAAACGAAGAAAAAACTAAATACATGGTCGTATCAAAACAGGAACGACAGCGAATAAGACAAAACATTACCATAAACGATCATAATTTTGAGGTGGTCAAAGAATTCAAATACCTAGAAGCAACAATTACCAGTGAAAACACAGGAGAACGGGAGGCTGAAATACGAATACTGGCGGGGAATAAATCATTCTTTGCCATTCAACATCTAATGAGGTCAAAGCTTCTTTCAAGGCGTGCCAAAATCCAAATGTACAAAACCATAATACGACCAGTAGTGACATATGGAAGTGAAACATGGACATTGAGAAAGAAAGAAATCAATAAGCTATTAGTATGGGAACGCAAAATCCTGCGAATTATATATGGTCCTTGCAGGGACAGCGTGACAAATGAATGGAGGAGCAGATACAACAATGAAATAGAGACTCTCTTCGGGAAAGGAAACATCGTAAGATACATAAAAGCCAATAGATTAAGATGGGCAGGTCACGTGGTGCGGAGTGATGACGACAGACTGATTAGCAATGTGTTTTGGGAAAGACCAGATGGTAAAAGATCGACAGGAAGGTCTAGAAAAAGGTGGAAAGACGCAGTCAGGGAAGACCTGGAGAAGATGGAAGTAAGGCCATGGGAAATAACAGCACAGGATCGGAATCAATGGAAGGCAATAGTAAACGCGGCAAAAACTCACGAAGAGTTGTAAAAGAAAATGATGATGATGATTGGCCTGGTAATTCACCAGACCTTAATCCCATTGAGAACTTATGGCAAATTCCCAAGAAATATTTAGCTAAGATAAATTGCACCACAAAACAAAAATTTATAACAAGTGCTATACAAGTTTGGTTCAACGAAGAACATGTGTGCTAAACTAGTGGAGTCAATCCCAAGGCGTGTTAAAGAGATAATTTCTGCTAAAGGAGGGCATATTTCGTACTAATATATAGATTTTTCAGTCTACTGAATAATGTTATATTACTGACTAAAATAATGAATAATTTTTTTTTCATTTGTCTTAATTAATTCGAACAGTATAGTATATATAAAATATGATAATTAATGTCTATGATTCTTGAAATCCAGAACGGCATCGTGTAAGAACTCTATTAAATGTTCCACATTAACTTCTGGCTTTAACGTGGGGTTATAGGGATATTTGGTAAGAGTGTTACTGCAAGCTTTTGATTCCGGACAATATACCGATGACAGTACTACAGCAGGTTTTTCTACAGGGTATTTCTGACCTGAAAGAGAAAAAATATGAGAATTTATGTAAAAATATCTGTTTTATCAAGAAATACCAACTAACGTTAATATTGAACCCTTTACACCCATAATATGCTGATATTTTACTTTTATTCAATAAATAACATTCTAACTTCATTATTAAATAGCATTATGTACGTCATCACTCATGCTATTTAATAGCATTATGTACTCATGTTCTTTGGTGTTTTGTGATTTTGGAGTGTTCAGGTGTTATGATCGGTTATTACATGTCTCTTTTTGATTCTTCTTCTTCCCATTTATAAGTAATTCTACTTGTTTATTTGCGGATTAATATCTCTATGGACGGTTGGCAGAAGGTAAAATATCAAAAAAAAATCACAGCAATTAATCCAAAGATTGCTACAACGTGCTATACAGAAAACGTGTCACTCACAATGATTTACTCCAAACCAATAGTTTGCAATCAGTGCTCAGAAAATATACCGGAAATTACAATAGAAATTGAAAAAACATTAAGAGAAGTGACAACAACAGAGACCCAGGAGAAGATGGCATTGTCATTGTAAGTATGTATTAAAGCACAGGGAAAAATAAGTTACGCTTTTAAAGTTTTTGTTTAATAAATTGTTAAAAACTGGAAAAATCCCAATTTCATGAAACAATGCCATGGATCATGGTAATCATCCATAGGAAGGTCGACCTCACTGATTTTAACAACTACCGTCCAGTCAGTATCTTTTCCAAGGTGTACAGATTATTTATAAATATACTAAAGATTAACTTCAATACAAGTTTATCAAACGAAAGAACAGGCAAGGGTCATATCAAATTAGTATTTATGAAAATACATATACAGCAAACGCAAGAAGCCACTAGTCTTAATAGTTGTGAACTACAAGAAAATGTTTGATTAAATGGACCAAGACAAAATAATTGCTGCACTGGATGATTGTAGAGTAGACCGCGTATATGCAACATTAATTAAAAATAGATATAAAGGCTCAACAGCAAGTGTGAAACTTCACATTAATCCATCAGCATTTAAAATACAACGGGGAGTACAGCAAGGTGATAATATCTCATCCAAACTGTTTACAATGCTGATGGAATATATGGTTAAGAAACTTTAATGGGAAAATATAGTAATCAACAGCAATGGTATTTGATTAAACTGCTTCGCTGATGTGCTGATCTCAGACACTAAACTCTACGTCAATAGAGGTAAGTTTAAAAATTAGTGTTAAAAGACTCAGTATGTGACAAGTTTGGTCCTTAGGTGCAACATATTGTTACACAGCGAAAAATGATCACAGTGTATAAAGATAATATTGCTTACTTACATGGACCCATGACATGTGAGACAAACTAATGTTAAAACAATTGATCCTTAAGATATTACAAAATTTGTCAACATTACTAATATGTACCTAGGAATTAGGGTGACCCAAAATATTAATGATTTAGATGATGAATTGATACAGGATTTTTACAAAAGTTTTAGGCGTTTCTTGATTACAGCTTGTATGGAAGTACCAAATGAAATGATTTTGGAGATCCTTTCATGGGCATCTTCTAATTAAAAGTAGCTTTAACAGTTGCCAAAGTCTTTTACCATGAATATCAAAATTGCCCCGAATTTGTAATCCTCAACACCTACATGCAAAAGATCGATGAGGAATGGAGGAAACTTAAACAATAACAGGATATTTCAATAGAATTCGAAAATCTGTATGAATTCTATTTTAATGTGGACAAAAAAATATTTTGACAGTAATTCTTTATTTGATAATTTGAGTGACTTTGTATTGTCTGTGTTAACTTAACCCAATTAAGTGCAAGTTGTAAAGGACATTTTTCAAAAGTAAATTTAATAAAGAAGTGCAGGAACCTCTTGGTAATAGACACTTTATATCGCATCATGCATTCATCGCAATCAGTTCATCTTTAAAAGGATTGTGTCAATTTTACACCATCAGAAATAATAGAACAAACTATAAATATAACCAATTTTTACAATAAAGAAGCTTATGATAAACTGGAAGAATATAATATAGAATAATGATGAGGATTTTAACCGTAAAGTAATGTAAATGTGACAACTAAAACAAATATGGTAAAAAGCTATTTCTTAAAGGTTTACACATTTAAGTTTTAAGAACCAAAATTTTTCAACCTTTTTGTTTCCGGACAGGAACCGACCTTAAGTAAGACTTAAGCAAGCAATTAGCTACCGCTCAATAGTGTTTTTTTTTTTGACATGTATCATATTTATTACTGCGATACTGCACATATAATATATAACAAAAAAACTTACCTATTGTAACTGTCACCAAACAGTTATAGTCATCCAAATTATAAATAAAAACAGCCTTATTGTAAGTGAGTACATCATATTCAATAATACTTCTAAAACAAGCTGCTGCTAAATTAGTAATAAAAATTTTCTTCAATTTAAAATGATCGGCAACTTGCTGCAATCGTGTGTCTAGAGTTTTGGAAACCAATGAGACGACATCCGACAGTGAACTATCTTTCTTAAAATCTGTAGTATTGAATCGGAACCCTCCTAATACTTGTTCTAATCTAGGAGATAGGTGAATGGAGTGGGTAGAGCGGGAACCATCTAGCTTGGAGATTGTGACTAAATGTGCAAAATCCTCTCCTTGATTGTACAGCATATGATCTAATAAGTTGGATCCTTTGTATATGCTAAAAATGTAAGATTGAGTGGTAATAGGTGCAACATATTATTAACAAATACTATTATTTCAACCCAATAATAACTATCTTTACTATACTAAAGCAGTTTTTACTTAAAGACAATTTTTTAGCAACATCGCATTTAAAGCTACGAAAGGATATTTCCCTTATCAACTTTGCAGTGGCGTACCAAAATAAAATTTTAATTATTTATTTAAATACATACGTAATTACCTAAAAATTAAATCTAAGACCGATATAATTATTAAATTATTATATGTGTCTTGACGGATAAAGTAAAAGCCATATAAGAAGAAAGGTTAGTAATTAAGCAATGATTAATGGGCATCAAACAATTTTTAAAATTTAATTTCAATCATTTAAAAAGTAAATTATATAATTTCATATGTTTTATTATTGTTCTGAAGCTATTTTCTTGTGGCATTTTTAAGTAATTACTATTTAAATGAGAATAAGCCACAATTTAAGGTTAAAGTAAGTTTATTGACGTCTCAATTTCCACTTCAGGAATCATTCTCAAAATACAAACAGTAGTAAATTAAACAAATTTTATTTCTTTCTTAATAAAGAAACAAAATTTGTTTAATTTACTACTGTTTGTATTTTGAGAAGGATTTCCGAAGTGGATATTAAAACGTCAATAAACGTACTCTAACCTTTAATTGTGGCTTATTCCCATTTAAATAGTAATTACGTATATTTTATGTTCCGTAAGAAAATTTGATTTTGTTCCGTTAAAAGCAAATGAAATGAATATAATATTTATGTATAATTTATTACACACAATAAAATTTATTTTATTAATGACATTTTTAATATAGAAATCATTCAGTTTACTTTGTTATACTATAACTCTCCATATAATATATTCTCTCTCCTATGGCGCTACAGCCCACTTTAGGCCCTGTTCTCTCCCAGCATCCTCCTGCAAGTACCCCTTTCCTTGGCTATTCTCCTCCAGTTATCCACCCTCATTATCTCTTTAGCACCGGTTCTTACTTCGTCTATCCACCGCTTCCTTGGATTTTATATTGACCGACGTCCCATCATAGTTCCACTAAGAGTTCTAAGCTCCTACTAGGTGATCTATTATTATCCAAAAGCCCAAAATAAGAGGAAAAGAGTAACTACTTGGGAATATATCAAAGATACTTGATGTTTATGAAACTATGTTTTCATAAACATAAATCTTCTTTTATTATTGTCCTTAACGTCTTTTTGCTCATTTTTGGAATCAGACCATTCTCCATTACCTTTGTCCTAATGGATTCGAGGGTTGGCGCTTTATTCTCAAAAAAGAAAGAATGAATAGTGAAGCGTACAAAATTTTTCTGGTACTCTTCCAATTTAATTTTTTTCTACAACGATAATGTACTTTTGGAGCTTGCACAATCCCAGTCACCTTTTTTCACGTACAATGCGTTCTATTGTGGACGCGGATACTCCCGTTAAAAATGAACACTGAGCTAAAGCTTCTACTGTACGAAGTGTATTTTTGAAATTTTTATACACTCTACAGACAATCTGCTTTTCTTCTACCGACATAAACTTCCGTTTTCTTTGTACATTGCTTGGACCCGCTACGTCATCCATCTTAATGCTCTAAAAAGAATAAACATCAATCATAATATTCTGCTATGTATTTGTTGTTTACTTACCACAAAAAACTATTTTAAAATTAATAAATAATAATAAAGTCTATTTAAAAAATATATAAAAGAAAGGCACATGCACAAGAAACAGAACACACCCCGCCTCTGGACATATAAGAATGTGAAACGAATCAAATATATCATCTCATTACTATTTTTTCCAAGGACGTAAATATATAGCCAAGCGAAATGTTGATAAGTTTACCGATGTTTTAAAATATTTAACTGAACTGGTCCAACTATACGTTCGAAAAACGAACCGGTATGCACAATTTATATTGTTACGTGGGCAAATGTTATGATATTATTTCGTATATTTTACTTATTTACATTGTCGAAGCATACACAATAAAAACGACCCCGGTAAGATTGTACTCCCGATATTTAGCATTGTTGCCGTTAGCTCTCAGTTAAATTTGTAAATGAGACATCTTTAATTGAAATCTGTGTGACTATAACAGATACATTTTTAGTCACTTTTTTCTTTATTCAGGATTAAATCTTTTGGGAATCTTTGTATTCTATTATTCTATCGAGCTAGAAAGCCTCTCTAATAAAAATTATATTCACAGCCAAGAAAAAGCGCGCCAAATGCATGAACATCTTTCCGTCGGCATATTTATTGCCTTTCTTTGTAGACGGGAATCGCGATCTGTTCACGTGTAACTGTTTAATCGTGCGTTTTCTTAGCTGTAAAGTAGGATTATGGATATTTGTGAAGTTAATTACAACTTCCGATCTGAATTAAGTATCTTATTCATATACTTTTCAAATATTTTTAATGGGAATTAACCACAATTTCAGTTTAAATACGTTTATTTTGACGTTTCGATTTCCACTGTGGAAATCGTTTTCAAAAAACAAATTTAATTAAGTAAGTAATTTATTCGGAAAGGAAATCGGAGGTGAAAACCTTGAAATGGACTGTTACAACATCAGATCTAGTTGCAAGCAGTACTAGACATTGAGAAAATTGATCTGTGTCTCGTTTCTGAAACACACTTCACTAAACAGTCACATGTTAAATTTTAGGGGGTATAGAGTATATTCTACTGGACACCCAGATAATGCAGCTAAAGGAGGAATTATAATAATTAAAGACAAAATCTTACATCATGAGGAATTAAAATATGCAACTGAGAACATACATACAAGCTGCAACAGTATGTGTAAAGATGAAAACACATACCATAAATATAAGTTCAATATATTGTCCTCCTAGACACTCCATTCTTCTTCTTAATGTACCATCTCCTTTCAGAACGTTGGTTACCATCACAGCTATCTTAATTTTATTTACTGCCACCCTAAATAGCACGCCAATCATGCGTATCAACACCATACCAATTTCGCAAGTTCTTCAACCATGAGGTTCTTCTTCGTCCTGGACTGCGTTTGCCTGCTATTTTTCCTTGCATGATATTTTGTAGCAACCTATATTTAGGACCTCTCATTACATGTGCGAAATACTCCAGCTTTCTCTGCTTGATGGTTTTGTGATCTCAGTAGTCTTGCTGAGACGTTCTAGTATTGTGGAGTTTCAAATCTTCTCCACCCATGAAACTTTGAAAATTCTTCTATAGCACCACATTTCGAAAGCCTCAAGGCGATTTAGATCGATTTTATTTACAGTCCAGGACTCGACACCATAAAGTAAGACCGAGAACACACGTAGCAGCGAAGTAGACGGATCCTTAATGCCAATTTAAGGTCTCTGTTACATAACATCTTGGACATCCTTCTAAAAGCAGCTCTAGCCTGCTCTATCCTGGATCTAATTTCGCCGTGACTTTCTGCGTTACAATTTAATTGCTGTCCAAGGTAAACGATTTTATCAACTTGCTCAAGTTTGGTATTACTTACATATATAGACGGTTTTATATGCTGTTGTTTACTTATTACGAGTATTTTGGTTTTCCTTATGTTAAGATCCAAACCTGCCTCCCTACAACTCTCAACGACACTATCAAGTAGTGTTTGCAGATCTTCTTGACTAGAAGCTAGGAGTACTATATCGTCCGCATATCGCAAATTATTGATGACTTCGCCGCTCATATTAGTATTCCTTCTTGTTTTTCAGAAAGTGCTTTTCTGAAAATTCTTTCGGAGTAAACGTTAAAAAGCAGGGGTGACAAGAGGCATCCCTGCCGTACTCCTCTTTTGATATTGAGAGCCTGTGATTCCACACCATCTACTAAACATGATGTTGTTTGATTCCAATATAAATTTGCAATTATTCGAACATCTCTGCCGTCCAAGCCATGTCTTTTAGAGCTTCGATCAATATAGAGTACACGATCAAATGCCTTTTGGAAGTCAATAAAACAACAGTATATGTCTACAGATATATCACGACATCTTCGAGCAAGTACGTTCTTTCCTAACAGTGCCTCTCTCGTTCCAAACCCGTTACGGAAACCAAACTGAGTGTCATCCAGGTATTCCTCGCATTTATTGTAGATACGACCATGTATTATCTTCAGAAAAATTTTCAATGAGTGGTTTAACAAACTGATGGTTCTATAATCAGCACAGGTTTTTGCTGTTGTCTTCGTAGGTAGAGCTATAAACAGTGAATTAGACCAACCATTAGGTAGTTGTCCGCTGGTATAAATGGTATTGAAAAACGAGGTTATAGCCTCTAAAACATTGCTATCATTTATGAGCTTATATATTTCAGTTGGAATTTCATCAGGACCAGTCGCTCTGCCTTCTTTTGATGATTGTATGGCATTTATAACCTCAAAGCGTGTTATTAGGGGTCCGCCACAGTTAGTAATATCGGGAGGTGAACTACTCCTATCGTCTTCGAATAGTTTCGTGACGTAATTTTCCCATTCTTTGCCCTCTACTTCAAATATTACTTTACCATTTTCATCCTGTAGCAATGCAGTTTGTTTCTTATTGAAGATACCAGCCGTTTCCTTCACTTTTTTATACGTTAAACGTGTCGTATCTTTTTTCAAGTTCTTCAATGTCATGGCACTGTTTGGCTAGATGTTGACTTTTTGCTTCTCGTATTTTACGTCGGATTTCTTTTTGTATGCTATTATAAAGTGTTTCGTTGTTTTTCGCTAGTCGCCGTTGTTCCATCAAATCCAGTATGTCATCTGTCATCCAAGCCTGCTTTTTTAGCTTTGACCTGGCTTGTAAATTTCTCACACAGATTTCTTTTGCTGTTGATACGATTTTATTTAAGCCATCATCGATGTTTTCACCAATATTTTCCCAAATTAAATTTTCGTTCAGTTGTCTTTGAACTGATTCCTTAACTTTCTCGTCTTGTAATTGGGCTGTATCAATATTTTTGCGTTACTTCTTTTTGATCACCTTTTT